ATCTCCTTCTGTTTCAGCCAGTAGGCGATGGACCAGCCCACCACCCCGCCTCCGACGATCACGATATCCGCCCTCTCTGGAGGAAGGTTGGGGTTGATCTCCAGAGGAGTCCAGCTGCTCCCTGGAAGCGCGTCCATCGCCTTCTTCCGCATAGCTTCCATATGGGTCTCCAGATCTGAGCCACAAAACCCCAAACTTTACACTCTCTCAAGAACTTGCAAATGTTTACCTTCATCTACGAAATTAAAATGCTTCCTGGTACTTTAGCTATCACTCTCAAATACGGCATATAAAACAGTTTATACATTACAAACACTTTAACGCAAATTAACATGCATGGTTGTTCCTTTTGAATTTTCGGCCAAATCGTTTAGTAGTTTAGTGCAAAGAACTATAAAAGTTGTTATTTGAAACACTGTATGCAACCGAATTGCAGACAGGCTTCTAGTAGCGTATTAAAACTGTTTAGCAGGATCCTAAAAGTTTCACATATTTATAGAAACACAAACCATTTGATAATTTTAGTATTTTTAAATGTAAGCTGGCTTGCTGAGTTGCACAACAGTCGTTTCCTGGTTACTCCCACCTTTGAAGAAGTCATTTCGTAGAGATGTGCCGGTGCTAAAGCTTTGACACAGAGACAGATGTCCGTTCAGCCACGTGGATCGACGTGTCACCTGTGTGGAGGTGATTAATCCACGAGCCGGCCCCACCTTCACCTGCAGCCGCCGCCACATGGCAGACATGGCTGGGCTTCAGTAAGCTAATCGGCTAGCTAAAGTAAAACACGATGCAAACCAAAACAAGAGCAGCGTGAGCAAACTTTCATTCTTCCTCCATCATAACAGCACTAACGGTCTAACCCAATTGGTCTAACCTTGCAGCGCTGCCAACAAAGACAAAAACACGCAGCACGACCGGTTTCACTTAAGCGTCCTTCAAAATAAAAGAACCAATCTGGACCATTTAGCGGATTAGTGTGTGAAGCAGTGATGCATTCACCTTTTCTGGCACTTCAGAAGCCAGAAATCCGCACCTAAGCAACCATTAACAATAAAAAACGCTCGAAGTTGAATTGTACTTAAAGTAATGGCAGTGCAATAGCTTTAAAAACTTTTATTTTGCCCCCTTAAAAAAATCATACGGATTAATTTCATATCTTTCAAACTGTTCCACAATTGGAGAATCTGATTTGTACTTTTTATTTGTGTATGTGTGTAGATATATATGTCCAGATTTCACCCCACATACAAAAGAAACAAGATGTATTTTGCAAAGGATGCAAAAAATAACAGTAGCAGACCCTTTTTTTTTCTTGTTGGCTTCATTGTTTAGCTCCACAACACAGGCACAAAGTATGATATATTTTGGAGGTCCAAAGGAATATAATTTAACTGAATAAATTCAAGATGAATATGAACCGATGCCTATTTAAAGAGGGCGTTTCCACAGCAAACTGATGCTGATATCCACACACTGGAGCAGAAAAAGTCACTGAATCCAGGAAATGTGCATGATGCTGACATTTTCCTGTGTCCAGTGTTTAAATGAACCCATGCACACATGAATATACAAACTTTATATAGCTTTTATATAACATTTATGGTTGTCAGCTAATTATTCCCTGCTGATAGTTAATAAGTACTTATGAAATATTTTTTATGTAATTTTTTGATTCAGTCAGTGATCCAAAACACAGAAATGTACAATGGCATAATCGTGTATTGATTAATCGTTGATTAACTGACCGCTTAAATGCAATTCTCAGAAATACATGCTGGGGTCATCACTGTTAAGATACATTTAATCAGTAAACTTTCAAATCTTATGTTTTCAGCTTTTTTGTGTAGAAAAATGTAAAATCAGAAAGCAAATATTTACTAAATAACTGAATAGATTTATAAAATGTATTTAGGTATACACCTGTTTCAATGAAAGAAACATAAAACACATCTCATTTTGTCTTTAAATAAATTGTAATGTGAAGCATTCCATGCCTGTACAGTATTTAATTTTTTTAAATACATTTTAATTATGTTAAAGTCTACATTGATGGTAATAATCCAGCCTGATGCGCAGTATGTTGGTAAAAGAAAAAAGATGTCTCACACTCAGGAGCTGGAGGGCTTTTGAAACATTTATTTCTTACACATTTTATTTCTATACCAAGTTTTGCTGTGTTTTTGTGGATTTTTTAAAAACATTATTACTTTTAAAAATTACTCCACATTTGTTTTTATATATTTATATATTCGTTCTTATTATAAAATTCATAGATTACTGAAGCTGCTCCTACAAAGCGTTGTGCAAAAAAAACCATGATTTTATTTTGAAAACTTCACAGGAAATCGCACTTATGATCCTGCAGGCGCGATCTTCGTCATCAAAGAGGCAGTGGCTTGCCACGTGAGTGAAGAGGACCAATCAGAAAGGAGGGAGTGGATCCATTTCTTCTCCTTGGAGCGCATTCTTATATTTTTTTTATTGGCTGCAAGACAAATTTTGGGATATGCGAATGTCTTTGCAGCATATTAAAGCTTATCAAAAGTTTTACTTGAAAAAATTAGACTAACAATGGAAACATTATCTTTCTCATGAATTCTTTTAGAATATTTTGTAATTAGACACCCCCCTTAAGCCAACAGTGTTTTCCTTCTCTGCTTTAATCTGCTTTTTGACTGCTTGTTAAATTAAACCGTATTCTTAGTATCAGAGATACGAAACCTAATTTACAGGCCGTTATGGAAAATGTCTGGCTTTTTAACCCTTAGTTCAGCTCCTTACCGGAAAAGTTCAGTTAAAGTGAAATTTAATTCCTTGCTACTACAAAGAAATGTCAGTGTTTACAAAGACAGTTATCTAGAGCCTTCAAACCAGCTGTTGCTACTAGAGATGGACCGATCTGATATCGATCTGATACTGACCTAAATTACTGGATCGGATATCTGAGAGGAATAAAAAATGTAATCGATCTGAAGTATCACAAAATCACCTCACAAAACACGCTACTTGGCATAACCCAGCTCGGTGCATCAGAGCAGTATTTGTCACGTGATCGAGCCGTTGTCTGCCAGACCTGTCTGCTGGCTGTTGGAGCATTTGGAGCCTCGCCACATGCTTCCTAACATTTCATCTGGCATTTCATCTCGGTGAAAACTATCCCACAGAAGTAAAGCAAGTGTGTAAGTTCATCCCTGAATGTTTGCATAGTATTTCCACGTTAAGCTTAACAACTGAGATATTGAGCCACAGCTGGACTGGCCATCAGAGTTCCATATTGAGGTGAAAAGGAAGCTGATCGGCTTTTCTGCAGCAAGTCCCGTCTTTTTTGTTTGTTTATCGCCCACTTTGCGCTAGAAAGAGGAGACCGGTGGATAAACAACAGCAGCACATTTAAGCGTGATAAGCTGTTGTTAGAATGTATTTAATATTACTTTCTAGTAACAGCTGAGGTTTGCTGGAGCCACTGCTGTAAAAACTGCTGGTGATGATATCCGTTTGGATATGTGGTGAGAGGGAAACATGAAGATGGAAGATCCTTACTAAATCATCAGAGCTGAGCAGGTGATGGAGAAACAGGTTTACCTTTTAGGTGACATGAATGAGTTAAAGGGAAGTTATGAACTGTTTCTGAGAGACAAATAACACCAGGATCCTTTTCTAAGTAGCTGACAGCTGGTAACTGTGCAGGGGCGGGTCTAGCAAAGCTTTGTCGGGGGCCAGGTAGGCCATTAACAGGGAGAGGGGGGCACAAAGAAATAATTTTCTTTGTTATGTCAGTCAAAAACTTTAAATAAATAATTATCTGAATATTACAACAAAAGTGGTCATCTGATTAAATGTATAGAATTCCATTATTGTATGTAGTAACTAATAAGTCTAATATACACCCTAGTAAACTATAGTACTTTTTCCTTTGGGAAGGTACCATCTGTGCAGTCTGCAATTCTGTTGAAGAAAGATGTTGAATCTATTTAATTATTGTAGAAAAATAATTGATTTCTGTGCATTTGTTTTACACTTGCATTAAATTAAAGTTGATTACATCGATTAAGGGCGGGGGTGGTTCCCTAATATTTTTGCTGGGAGTTGGCAACCCTATTAGTTAGGTTGCTTAATATTTCCACTAAGTACTCTTTAAAATACCAGAATATGTAGGATGGCTTAGGTTTAAATTTATAAGATTGATCAGTGTTGCTGAACTATAAAATGTTTTGGGTGGAGTGTATTTTTTGCATAACAGAATAGCTTCAGTCTCTTGTTTTCCAAAACTTGAGTATGAACTTATACAAAATGCAGCAAGATATTTATAAAAAAAAAAAGAAGGTTTTATTGATTACAAAATAAGCTATATCGGATTCATATCGGTATCGGCAGATATCCATATTTATCATATCGGAATCGGTATCGGACATTAAAAAGTGGTATTGTGCCATCTCTAGTTGCTACACAAATATATAATTATATGCTTGTAATCTTATTATTAAGTATAATAATAGTTAAAGTACAAACTGTAGTATTATTTTTAAGAATTATTTATTGCAGATTTTTTTTTTATAGCACACGCAGGAATAGCTAGATAGATAAATGGATAGATACCCCCAAAATCTATCTATCTATCTATCTATCTATCTATCTATCTATCTATCTATCTATCTACAGTGTTGGGAAGGTTACTTTTAAAATGTATTC